ATAAAGAAAGTGCGCACTGACTTTTGGAAACTTTTGGAAAGCTTCAAAACTAAAGAGCTTAGGAAAAGTAAATAAGGAATAGAGGGTGAGTAAAGCAAATCAAAAGGGAATAAGTAAACTATAACAATAACAAATATCCCACTATAACTACCCCTCCCCCCCAAAAATACATTATTCTGGGGGCCTTTATAAATCTGTGCAGGAAAAAAAAGTCATTATTCTAGGGGCGTTTATAAATCTGAGGTCAACATTGGTGAAGAACGATGTTTGTTTGCCTAGGAATAGGTTTAATGATGTCCGATGCAACTTGGATTGGAGAAGGGAGTTCCTAAGGCAGGCTGTTTGGCCTTTGTCATTCCAGGACTAAAGCGATGTGTTCCAAACACACAATTTGCATTGTTTTCAGCCAACTGCTTTCAGTTCACGCAAGGCTAGCGTGGTGACCCAAAAGTAAAGGAGCAAATGGAGCTAACCCTGGTGAGAATGATGCGGGCGATGAAGTGGCAAAAGACCCGGAGGAGGAAGAGGGGGAGCATGATGGCAAAGTAGAGGAAGCAGAGTACTGGCTTGGCAGCCTTTTATAGTAAAGGCCTGAAAGGTACTTTTCACGCGGTGAGTGAAATGAACTGATGAGACCCGGAACTGTTTGCGCACAACAAGTGGAAAAGGTGTGTGAGCGAGCAGCCATCCCAAAGGGATTGCAAAGAATTGATGATGTTTAAAGTTGTGCGTTTGGTTGCAGTGGAACATTTACAGTGGGTGTTATTTTGCGAAGACAAGAAACCAAACATAGCTTTCATCAACACCCAAGGACTAAACAGGACAAAGGGGGGCACAAGTTTGCTCAGCTACCAAACAGTTTTTCCGGCCCAAACGATGCTCAAACCCAGGAGTGGAAATGACGGTACCACATCACAAAGTTCACCAGGTCTGAGTCATGGTTTTTACTTCACTCCTTCACCACATCAGAAACCCGTCACTTCACTGGAAACTCAGACAGTCACCAGCGTAAATCATACCACGGTCGTCTCATCACAAACTGCCCCACCAGATTTGAATGACAAGTAAGGGAAGCACACAGACCCAGTTACAAAACCCATCCCCAGTTGCAAGGGGAATTGTTTTATGTGTGTGCGTGTGTGTGTGTGTCCACCCCTGGACAAAGGGTTTTCCACCGCCACTTCCTTCACAGATTTTCCACCACCTTTCACATGCAGGGGCACTGAGCACTCCTTGGCAAACTCAGTGCAACGAAGCTATGCCTTGGA